ACACTGTGGTAGATGATAGCCCACTCCCTCCCTCCTCCTTCATGTCCACTAACACGTTAAACACAATGCGGGGGGGGGGTAGTACATCTTGATTGCATGAGGCTCCACCTCCCTGTTATTCTAAGACACGGGCTGGAGGGGCCTGTGACTGGCAGAAATCAGCCCACACCATGTTATTTCCAAAAATAATACATATTTGATTTCAAATATATAATTGTATGACTATTTAAAACAGTTTATTGATATAATTTTTTTTATTTTTATTCTGTTTCCCAAAGGCAGTTTTTTTCAATTTTGACCATGTGACCAGCAGCAATGGATTAGAAGCTCCTCCTGCCACTGTTTCCCTGCAGACAAGCTGGGAAAGAGCTGGGTCATGTGACAGCTGTATATTGATTAGGAAAAAGGTACTTGGATGTTTTGTTGATTACAGAACAGATATTATAAATTAAAGTGTGTGAGTGTGTTCAGTATCACTTTAGTTAATCAATGACATAGAAAACAAAGTAGCGTGTTTATTTCCATTATATTAATAAATGGGAATTAATTGCAAATAGTTTTCTTTATATACTTATTAATTTAATTTAAATGAATTGTAATATGTCCACACTGTATATACAGAATCATTTTCAACATCTGAGTGCAACACTTCACCTGCTGCTTCTGTTCTCGTCACCATAAGAAATGCGTCTATATCTGGAGTCTGACTCATGCATTAACATGATACAAGACTGATTAATCACTTCTGAAATTTCCAACATGTATCTGAGGGAGCTGGGCATGCAGAGTCGGGGGTGTGGAATTGCTGATCATGCAGTACAACTATGCCTGTGTCCATGGGCGGACTGACAACTCATGGGGCCCCCAGGCAATAGGGGATCATGGGGCCCCTGTGTCCTTGCCCAAACTCAAAAAAGACTATCAAAAAGGTACCATGGGCATCTCATGGGGCCCCTTAATGTCCCCGGGCCCTCGGGCAGTGCCCGGGTTTTCAAATGGTCAGTCCGCCCCTGCCTGTGTCCCATGTATGCTGAGAATTGGTGACACCTAACTATAAAACGCTCCCAAGGCTGTGATTGCTTTTCAGAGGAATCTGACAGGCGAATAAAGGAAATATGTCATCTCATCTCTGTCTGTAATAGCAACTGAATGTCTGCAGCACCGCACAGCCACCATGTGCATTACACACGGATGGAGCATGCTTGGATTTCAGTGCCATTCACTTGAATACTGGTACTGCCTGCCAAACGCAAGATGTCATAGAAATTGTGCCACACAGCGACCAAGGCAAGGTATTCTGACGTTGCCGCTGGTCATATTAAGGCAGAACTTCACTCTCTCAATCAACACCGACTATATTTAATCCTTATACTGTCAGCATTAGTAAGTAGATAGGAAAGTATATCATATTTACTTGTTTAAGCTTTTTTAACATTTGTGTTCAGTTACTTCCTTGTTTCCGTGCCTAGGCAAATGATGTCATACATCCCAGGAGTCTTCAAGAGGGAGGAGGGGTTTTCTCAGCTGAGCACACCCTCCTGCCTGCATGCCTGAGCTAAGAACAGATGGATTCCAGGAAGTAAATTCTATATGAATCATCTGCCCTTACTCAAAATGGCCGTGGTCAGAAAGGCTAGAGGGGTATTTTTCAACGCAAAATAAAGCATGGAGATATGGATGGATAGGGACATTTTTGCTTTGAATAAAAAAAAAATAAATATAAACATTTTTAAAATAAAATGAAAATAAATTTAATAGCGTTTTTAGTTTGTAGTGCTCAGATGAAGTGTAGTTACATTTTAAGCTGTGGCTCAGACAGGGAGCAGTAAAACCCATGACACAACTGGTTTTACCGCCCCTCCACCACCAGTGTAAACAAGGTCCTAAAGTGTAAAAATAGTAAATTTTGTGCTTTGGATAGAATAGGGAAGGGTTAAAACCGCTGCCAGTTTATTTTTTGCTGTCTGTGTACCCATTAGGGAAATTTCCCTTCACTGCCAGAGACGTAACAGGAAGATGGAGGAAATCTCCCAAAGTGAAGGGAATTCCCCGCTTACCCTAGGTTCACACCTAAGCGTTTTCTGCCGTGTTTTGTAGAAACGCAGTACAGTCCATTTAACATGATTTCCTATGGGACAGGTTCACATCTCTGCGTTTTTACCTGGTGCGTTTTTTTGGAAAGGGTCAGGGACTTTTTTTAATGCAAAACATTGTGTTTTTTGGTTCTATAGACCTCAATGGGAATGCTGCAGAAAAACATATATTGCGTTTTTGCTGCATTTTTGCTGTGCTTTAAATCTGCATGAAATTTAAAAAAAAAAATGGAAAAAAAACTCCCTGCAAAACGCATCAAAAGCACGGCAAAAAACGCAATGCAAAATGCAATGCAGAAATGCCTCAAACGCAACCTGCATAGGTGTGAACCTAGCCTTAGACAAGTGTCCCTATTGGAAGATTTGCTCTTACCCCTTGTTCTGGGGACAACTCTAAATTCTTGGATTTTCCTTCACACAATAAGTCATCAGGACAAAGAGAGGAGGGTATCTCCTCAACAGGGATACAGACAGAGTAAAAACTTGACGGGGGTTCTAACCCTTCCCCACAACATTCAAAATCGGGAAAAAATAACAGTTTTGCCAAAAACTATAAGTCCTCATGCACACTGGGGGACGTTTTGATAACGCTGGTAACGTTAGCTGTGTAAAGTCATGTTAAAAATGTGAGTTGTTCAGGTTTTTTTAGCTTTTTTGAATTAGCGTTTAGCGGTGGTTTCTCGCATTTGCGTTTTTTAGCGTTTTTTTTTTTTTTTAAACCCATTTTTTTTTAGTAAAAAAAGTCCAAAAATGACGGTTTGTGTTTTTTCGCCATTTTTCAGCGTTTTCCAGCATTAGAAAGATTTTACAGCTAATAAATTCCTCTAGAAACCCACTAGTCCTGGGTGTTTTTTCCAGCCGAAAAAAACATCAAAAAAAACGTTGATTCTAGTCTGTGTGTGCATGGACACATAGGATAAACATGCTGGGGGGGTTTACTGGCTGTAGAAAAAAATGTCAAAAGCCAAAAACAGCCGCTGTAAAAACGTCCCGTGTGCATGAGGACTAACTGTCCCACCAGAACAGGACATATAGAGAGATGTGTATCTCCAGTGTAATTCATTTTACCTTTACATCATGCGTTCCTCGGCAGGCCAGGGTATAACCACCAATTTGTTGGAGCTGATCAGCAGCGCTGGAACTGCACTGAATTTTTAAGGCTATTGGATAGGAAAGAAAAAAAAAAAAAAAAATGAATTTGAGAAGGTCTTTTCATATTTGTAACAGAAAAAAATATATTTGTAAACTGTCAGTCTCTCAGGGGCGGACTGACCATTTGGAAACTCGGGCACTGCCCGAGGGCCCGGGGTCAGTAGGGGGCCCCATGAGATGCCCCTGGTACCTTTTTCATATGCTTTTTTGAGTTTGGGCAAGGACACAGGGGCCCCATGATCCCCTATTGCCCAGGGGCCCCATGAGTTGTCAGTCTGCCCCTGGTCAGTCTATTGAAAATTGGTATTTGACTTTAGGGTGGGGGTCAGCAACCTGTAAATAACAGCCAGGTGACTGGTAGATTGCGGTCTGGGCTAGCTAGGCTGTAGTAGAGAGCAAGAGCCACATGAGCCATTGCCTCCTCTGTGTGCAAGTATGCTGTGCCATAAAATGCTGTTAGCTGTAAAAGAAGGCAGTAAACACTAACCTTGCCTGGTGCCTGCACCACTGAACACTGCTCCGATCCCTACAACTGGTCCTGTCTTGGACTCGGTCACTTACAGACCATTTACCGTGATCTACCAGTGAGCCAAATTAATATGAGAATACGTGCACGTGGAAGTAAGACACTGACACTTCGCAGTTTGCCAACTTCCTAAAATTCTGTTTTATTGAGGAACTAACAGTATCATTTATAGGGCATATGATGCAGGCAAAGCATATACATTGATTGGGTGAAAAGTCCACTGGGTTTCTGCGTGTTCGTCCATTCCGTGTTGATATCTTCCAATCATTGTCCCCAAAGAGACTCATTCCCTTTTATGGGGGTTGTTTACATTAAAAGATACTTTTCTCCTAATGAGTCACCAAGGGTGAGACTCCGGATGAAGGCGCCATCTTAATTATCATCATTGTTCTGTCAACCTATATCTGATTGTTTACTTGAGAGTAAGGAATTTAAAGAGCAAGAAACAGACAGTAGCAAGACTATAAAATTGTCATTTTACTGATCATCTAATAAAACGTGGACTGTCAATCACAATCCACTACAGTCCCATGAAGTCCATTAGGACACCAACACTACCAGGAGTGTCAATCTCATGGATCCCCTGCATCTCTCACTTGTTCCTCCCTCTGACCTTGAACACTTTCCACTGCCTTCTTCTATAGGTAACAGCACACAAATAGATGTATACATTATTAGTCAAAATCTTACGACAGGGTCACTTTAAGTCAAGCCTCTCAGCAATTATTATTGTACCTAATTTTAACATGTCTTAAATCTACTTAGACCATTTTAAAGAAAACTAAAAGTCACTGACAGTTATGAAGTGCAGCTACCAAGAGATGCCTCACATACCTGCAGCAAACATTGCCCCCTGTTTCACCCAAATGCCAAGCTGTTTGGAATAGGATTTTTGTTCAGCAGAGCAGTTAAGATTAGTCTGGTAAACATGTGAAAATGAGCCATAGAGCTCTGTCTGCTGGTTGGAAATGGTAAATATGACAACTTAACATACAATATTTAATATTTTACCTGACTTCAGATAAGATATTTTTCAAAAATGTGTTTATAGTCCTGAAAATTATAAATTATTAAACAGAGAAAATAAGTAAAAAACACTATACATTTTATTATCAAAATCTTGATCATGGGATTGTGATTTTACCTTCACTGGTGGATTCCATCCTTGATGCAGTGTTCACAGTATCTCCAAACAAGCAGTAACGAGGCATCTTGGAACCAACCACACCAGCCACTACAGGACCTTCAAAGGTGAACCAGAGACATGATATTTACAGCACATTCACATTTTGAGTCTCATGGCACAGCTGTTGGAAGAGGTCTATAGCCAGAATTTCATGCATTTGTTTGGCTTGCAGAACCATGGATGAAGAGGAGAGGAGGGTGGATAGTGAGACATGGTGTCGGCATATCTTAGTGGGCAAAATAGCAATTAAACAAGGTCTTAATCCATGAAGGGATGGATCTTCTGCCCTCAAGGACTTCCATATTTGTTGTGCCCATAGCCCTGAGATTGTTTCTCAATCTAGTACAAATTATTTCATGTCTATGGTCAGCTTTCAAACCCAACTCAAGTTTATAAAATGCAAAAAAATCACCCATGACTTTTGAAGATAAAAAAGCAGTTCTGTCCACAGTAGTAACCCCCTCCCCAGTGTGGCCTCTACAGACTTGCCACTTTGCAAACCAGCACCAGTTCTCTTCTGAGTGGCATGATGCCCAGAGCCAATAAATTGTTTGGACCCCTGTATATAAGGAAGAATTATTAGAACCTGTTGATGGGCTTTTGTTTGGTTCAAATGGGTTGGCATTCAAGTCTATGGCATTTAAGGTCAAACACAGCTAAAATGAAGGTCAACTGCAGGTCATATTCACCTAAGAACAAATTTTAAGGTTGGGCATTGCACTTTTTTTGTTTAACACGGATTGGAGAATTTTTAAATGTATTTAAATGAAAAAAACAAGTAAGGTTTAAGCACAATTGACTGGACTTTCTGACTTCAGTGGAGTGGTAGTGCTTCCTGCATAGCATTAGTAGGTCACTGATTAACTTGACTTGTTTCCAGGAGCTGCGTTCTTAGTTCTCAATGTATACTAAAGAGTTCGGACACTGGATCCAAGCATGCAAGTGGTCCTAGAATTGGATAGCAGAGATGCAAAAGAACTGTTGTGGGTGCAGATGGTGCAGGTCCCAAAGGCTGGATGGTGTCCTAATTGCTACAGTCCATGTGCACATAGGAATTGGGGAACCTGTTCATGGCATCCCTGTACTCATTCATTTTACCAGCTCCCCCACCTGCTTACCCCAGACAATGCAGAGTCTCCCCCTTAATTACAGGAAAAATGTCTCCTGTACACACAAGTGATGATGATACCACACTAAACCTTGCCACAGGCAGCACAGTGGTTAGCACTTCCACTTAGCAGCACTGGGATTGATGGTTCAAATCCCAACCACAGCACTACCTGCCTTGAGTTTGCATGTTCTCTGTGGGTTTCCTCCGGGTACTCCAGTTTCCTCCAACACTCTAAATACATGCTGGTAGGTTAATTGGCTCCTGTCTAAATTGGCCCTAGTATGTGTATGTATGAATGTCAGTTAGGGACCTCAGATTGTGAGCCCCTTCAGGACAGGGAGGGACTGATGTTAATGTGCAATATATACAGTATGTATGGCACTGCTGAAAAGACCATGAACTACTTTACTACAGCACTGCCCACCTGAATGTATTCCCACACGGATCTTCAACTTAGTGTCTGGTAAATGAGGGATCTGGAAAGAGTGGCAAACACCGACGAGATCCAACGCCATACTTGCAATCTCTGACACATGCCTTGTACCGTTTTCCTTAGGTACACCAGATACTACCATATCTGCAAGACAGAAACTGGAATGTTATAGTGTTACAGGAATTGATTTTAGGCACATTATAGGATAATAAATAAATAGTGTAGCGCTCATAAAAAAATTGATAACCCATATACAGTGTAATTCATAATTCCAGTAGTGTTAAACATATATAGTGTCAAACCCAAATTACTAGCAGTATCTGTGCCTCTCACTTAAAAAAAAAACGTGCACACACACTAAATAAAATATAATATATAGGAAACCCCTCAAATCAAAAAGGGGCTAAACAGAAAGTGCTAAAGTGCAATAAAGTGTTCACACTTCACAAAATGCTCAAATGATCAAAAAAATGTCCAAAAAACAATCTATAAGTGATAAATAAAGTCATGCAGTGTGCAATAGTGTTTAGCAATTCCGTGATTGTGTCAACACACTTCTTCTGTTTGCAGCTAAATTGCCTCCTCACCTCCTCCAGGTGACCCCTAGGGGCCAAAACGCTTGCAGGATCACCATGGATCCTTAATCATAAGAGCCAGCAACCTTCTTCCTCCAGTGGATCTCCTTATGGGGCTCCTGTTGCCCCTGATCAGACCAGATGTCTTTAAAGGACAGTAGCTCACCAGCCCAGTGAGCCAAGAAAAAAAGACCCTCTAAGTGCAGTATTGTAGCAACCAAGACTCCAGCTTTAGCTACAACACTGCACTTAGAGGGTCTTTTTTTCTTGGCTCACTGGGCTGGTGAGCTACTGTCCTTTAGAGACATCTGGTCTGATCAGGGGCAACAGGAGCCCCATAAGGAGATCCACTGGAGGAAGAAGGTTGCTGGCTCTTATGATTAAGGATCCAGGGAGATCCTGCAAGCGTTTTGGCCCCTAGGGTTCACCTGAAGGAGGTGAGGAGGCAATTTAGCCGCAAACAGAAGAAGTGTGTTGACACAATCACGGAATTGCTAAACACTATTGCCACACTGCATGACTTTATTTATCACTTATAGATTGTTTTTTGGACATTTTTTTTATCATTTGAGCATTTTTTGAAGTGTGAACACTTTATTGCACTTTAGCACTTTCTGTTTAGCCCCTTTTGATTTGAGGGGTTTCCTATATATTATATATTACTTAGTGTGTGTGTGTGCACGTTTTTTTTTTAAGTGAGAGGCACATTTTTATTATTTATAGATACTGTATTAATTTAGTGTGTGTGCACGGTTTTTAGGTGAGAGGCACAGATACTGCTAGTAATTTGGGTTTGACACTATATATGTTTAACACTATTGGAGTTATGAATTACACTGTATATGGGTTATCAATTTTTTTATGAGCGCTACACTATTTATTTAATGTTTTGACACTGTTTAGGTATCAGTTTTTTCTGAGTGTTGGCAGCTTTAAGTTAGGTACACTTCCATTTATAGCGCAGGAGGACCTTGGCCCTTTGTATATTATAGGATATGTAGTTAACTCAGGTCTACGTCCTCCTTGGATAAAAGTCTCCTTTTTGCTATCATAGTAAGATGAGGAGCCAATTAGAGATAGAAAGATGCAATGGGGGTTATTTACTAAACCTGCATAGTGAAAAATCAGGTGCTCCTCTGTATAGAAACCAATCAGCTTCCAGGTTTTAGCCCTCATGCACACTTGACGTTTTTACAGCTGCTGTTTTTGGCTTTTGATGTTTTTTTTCTACAGTTAGACTGTAATCAACATTTTTTTGGCTGGGACGTTTTTTGGATGGAAAAACTCCCCAGAACTAGTGGGTTTCTAGAGGAGTTTTTTTAGCTGTAAAAGCGCTCTAACACTGAAAAATGTGCCAAAGCACGGTAAAACGCAGCAAACTGGCGTTTTTAGACTTTTTTTGACCCACAAAATGGTTTTTTTTTGGGGGGGGGGGGGAAACACTAAAAAACGCTAATGTGCAAAAAAATGCAGCTAAATACGGCAAAACGCTGCTAAAAGCTAATACAAGGTGAAAAACTCACGTTTTTAACGCGACTTTACACAGCTAACGTTACCAGCGTTATCAAAACGTCCCGTGTGCATGAGGACTTATTGTCAAAGCTTGACTGAACAAGCTGAAGTTAAAAGCTGATTGGTTACCATGCACAGCTGCACCAGATTCTGAGTGCTTCAGTTTTAGTAAATCTCCCCCAATGAATCTGAAGGAACAGCTTAATAGCTGGGAAAAAAAAGCACGAACGGCTGGTTTACTCCACAGAAACAAAGTCTAGATACTTTTCTGCATGCGTGTTTTTGATGTGTTCCAGTGCATTTTTGATGGGGTTTTTTTTCCCTCCTTTTTTGGGTCTTTTGGGGTTCAGTGCATTTTTTATGCGTTTTACCAGTACAGTTCTGTGCAGGAAAAATGCACTGGAACTGTAAGCACTGGTGTGAACCATGCCATTGGCAACCATGTAACCTGCTTTCCTTGCATTTTGGACACAGAAAAAAAAATGCACTGGAACGCATGTAGTGTGAATCAGCTCTGAAAGAGGAATGACCTATGGTAGGTTAGCACTGGTAACTAATTAGGCTTTGCTGCATGGACATGTGCTGACAGGGTACATGCTAACAGGAGTAGAGAGCAGAGTTGATGACTTATCACTGTGTAGCTGCTCTTTCATTGTCCTATCAGTGGTCTAGGGTTTGGAAGGTCACACATATCTGAGGGATGGGTAGAGTTGGGAATGGTCAACTTTCTTTGGCCGTAAGTGTCCCATTTGGAGATGTTTCCTTCACTTCCTGTCCTATCCGTCCAAAGTAAGAGCATTTATCTCAGGGACACTTGTCGCCACATCAAGAAGAGAATTTCCTCTCTAATCCTGCTCTGTGATTTTTCCTCTCATTGCCTTGGTGACAGTGATCTTAAAGGACACATAGAGCATCCCTCTCCCCTATCCAAAACAAACAAACATGGCTTTAGATACACTTCACATCTAACAGAGAAAGTTCTTTTCAGCTCTCATAACTAGGTAGAAATACTAGGTAACATACATGCGTCTCCAATAGTTTCCACCTTGTACACGTCGTAATGGTCAATAATGTCATCAAACTGGGTGTACAGCTTGTTAAGGAAGTTGACCACTTGGTGAGGTGTGCTGGCCCCAGACAATGACGTGAAGCCCACAATGTCACTAAACAAGAAAGAGAGAATTATGTGAATTCATTTGATAGGTAATTACAGTGGACCTACATTCAAGAAAAGAAGATTGGCTATCTTTTCCCTCCTGCAAAAATAGTAGAACACTTTCTAGTATGTGTGGGTGTTCAAGTACTTATGTGCCTTTAGCCTGGTAGCTGTATATCTACAGTGTGAGATCATCTAAGGCAGGGGTCTCCATGCTTTCTATGCAAAGGGCCAGTCTACAATCCTTCAGACTTTAAGAGGGCCGGACTGTGACCAGTGGGAGTAGAAGATGCTCCGACATTAGTGGGCATAAACAATGCTTTATTATTGGTTTGAAAGAAATAAATAGTTCCTGAATATTGGTTTTAATGGAAGGAATAGTGCCCCATTGTTGCTATCAATGAGAAGAATAGTGCCCCATCAACGTTGTCAGTTGGTGGAATGGTGCCCCAAGGGCCAGACAAATGCAAGCCAAGGGCCACATCCAGCCCCCGGGCCACAGTTTGGAGACCACTGATCTAAGGCACTGCTGTCCCTGACTACTAGTCTCAGGGGATTTGGAGTGGGAATTGGTGTAGTCACTGCTGTGCTGCCGATTGTTCTCCTTGCTGGAGAAGATTCTACATGCATGCATCTACCTGCTTCTGCTTCATTCATTCTGTGGATCTGTGCAATGTGAAATTCTCCTGCTGCTTCAAGATCTCCAGTCACCAGAGAACAGCAATGACATGAGGCAACAAAGCCCTACGTCTACCAACATGGCACACCATAACACAATGCAGAACAAGGCATGGCAAGTCCAAATGGGGAAAGCTACTGGGAGATCACAGGTAATACTGCTGACCAGTCCTTTTCCCACTGCCTGCTTTTTTCAGGCTCAGTTTCCAGCATTCAAGCTTTCTGGACCCAGTTTATAGACGACAATTAAGAGCTCATGTACACTGCAGCTGATAAACTCACGTTCAGGAGCATTTCTGCATTTTTTTCAGCAGCCCCTGAACTCCCCCTAATGTTTTCCTATGTGTCCATGTACACATCGTCTTTTACAGGCAGTTGAGTTTACAGTCATTTTTTGAACGCACCAAACTTGCGTTCAGGAGTAGATTTTATCAGCGTTTCAAACGTCAAATGCTTGTAAACGCGGCTAACCGCGTTCATAACTGTTTGCGTTTAGAAGCGTTTTTTAACTGTTCCATATCCAGATGCTGTCCAGTGCCTTTTTTCATCATCAGAAATGCATGCAAAGCATTTTCCATGTATTCAAATGGACCCGGTACACCAGCGCAGTCACTTCCAGGTTTTGCGTGAAGGAAAAAATGGTAGCACGTGCTGCATTATGCTCAAGATGGGATCCATAGTGAATACAACCAGAAAATACAGGTCATCTCAACACATACTGCTCTCTCTGCTTCTGCTCTCTCTATTTCTCTCAAAATGTCTGAAATAGTAAAAGTATTACTATTTTTCACTGCATTCTGGGCATTTTGAAAAACCTCCTGATGTTATCTTTAAAAAACGCTTCTAAACTCGCATAAACGTGGTATGCAAACACTTCTAAACAGATGTTTTTTAACCTACGTTTTCCAGCAGTCAGTTTCCATCGTTCAGAAGTGTCCCGTGTACATGGAGCCTAAGGCTTTTGACCTTTGAATATGTAAAGGTGAATTTTACACTTGACAAGCACTGTACCACAAAAGAACAGACACGAGCAAGCACACACATGCTACACCCATAGACATGCACAGAACCTGCCTGAAATAAACAGTTGCATTAGAATAGCTCTGAGCTTGACAAGTAAGACCTTGGCGGAGATCATCAGCGACCGGTTTGGGAAGCATACCTGATAATGTGCAGAAAGGTTGAGAGATGCTATTAGAAAACTAATTTCAGTTAAAAAGCTTAATAAATGAAAGCTGAACTCCAGGCTGGAACAAATATATACATTTGTACTTGGCCCCTACCCACTCCCATGGCAAGGGTTAAATGGATGCTATTTCTAGGAGTAAGGAATAAGGAGAAATGTCTACCTTTCTCTGTGCTCCTGCAGGTTCCCTTTATCTGTGCAACCAAGTCTCTGCAACCTCCTCTCTAAGCTGCTCAAGGCTGTGGTTGCATGCTTGCCTCCACCACATACAATGCAGGGTTAATAGTCCTGCATTGTATGTGATGATGCTTCATCCCTGCTCAAAGGCTGGCACTTCGGGGAGATAGCTCTGGGGTCTGCTGGGTAATTCTGCCTCTTTATCTACCCCCTAGAAATAATGAACAAAGTATTTCTATGTTCCAGCCCAGAGTTTAGCTCCAACTTCCTAATGCTGGTACAGGTATATTGGTTCCATGTGGTCAAATTCTCATTGCAGGGTTTTTACAAATTTATACACGGCCAGAATTCATAAAGCACTTCACATGGTCACTGGGAATGTCCATCCTGCAGACTGTGCTATGTAACCTCTAGTACTTCCTTGGATTCTTTTAACATCAAGTCTCCGATATGCGAGAGTGAGCAAAGAACCTGTAGGGGTTAGGTCAGAAAAAACCTCTCCTGACTTCAAAGCAATTCTTAGTAGATCACCAGATTTCTGGCAAAAGGGATTAGAGTGCGATGTACTTTTGCACTAAAACAGTATCTGTATAAAAACTGAACAGGAAGACTGTTTAATTTTTTCAAAGCTGATTTCCAGGCACAAAAACTTTAATTTTACATATATTTCTAAGTAGTCTTAGAGGACTACAAGAGGGGGCGGAGACAAGACTAGGCACCCTGCAGAAGGAAACAGAGCGGCAGTGAGCGGTCTTTTTTTACAGGAAGCTCCTGCACAGAGTCTCACATTGGATGACTACACAGATCTGGAAGAAATGCACAGAGCACACCAAGATTCATTAAGAATACACACAACTCTTTTATTGCTGCTTATCCTGGAGTTCACCTTAAATTCTGAATGGAGTGGACCTTTAACTACTTGCCCTCCTTAGGATTTCTCCCCTTCCTGATCAGGCCATTTTTTGTGTTACGGTGCTGCATTACTTTAACTGACAATTGCAGGGTCATGCACCGCTGCACCCAAGCTAAATTTACGTCCTTTTTTTCCCACGAATTGAGCTTTCTTTTGGTGGTATTTGATCACCTGTGTGTTTTTTATTTTTCCCGCTATAAAAAAAAAGACCAACAATTTTGAGAAAATAATATTTTTGAATTTTTGCTATTAAACATGTCCAGTAAAAAAAATTTACAAGATCAAATCTCATCATAAATTTATGCCAAAATGTAATCTTGCCCCACTAAGCTAATACACCTAAACACATACATCCCATAATAGTTTGCTCCCAAACCAGACAGACAATAGAACAATGGGATGCAGCCATGTAACATTAAACAATCAACAACCCCCCCACCCCACCTATCTCCTAAACATGTCTACACAGTCTGAGACAAAGCCCACACAATATTAGGACAGATCACCCTGTACCCATAACAGGCACAGGGTGACTTACACATAAGAGGGATATGGGGAGCTGAGACAGGGGTCTCCTCACCTCTCCAAAGTGAGCTGGGTTCCATGGGCCCCCCACCCAAGGTGACTCCCGTCACAGGCGATGTCTGTGTGCTTCTCTGTAATCACACTGCTTTGGATCCAAAGCAGTGTGCTCGAGCTGACAGGGAGAACTGTTAGTAAACAAAACAGTTCTCCTCTTTGGAAATCATCGGGCGCCGGCGAGTAATTACTGGCCACAACCCGGTGATTGCCAGCCGTGGCTGCGAACGGTGGCGGGGATAGGGCATGCGCGTTCCCCCTACCTGGAAATGCAAAATCTTGTATATATGTCGCCCTGTAGAAGTATTTCTGCTATAGGGCTGATGGGAAGCGGTTAAAAATGACCTTTGTATATATAGACCTTTTCACTCTAGGAAACACTTTATACAAAAAAAAAACAATCTAAATAAAGAAGCATTTACAAAGTACAAAGAGAAGACACAGAAAGACATGGTGTACAAGCCCATAGGCAGTTATGTCTGAATGCAAACATTGGACATTGACTTCCATGTGTGTGAAAGCTGCTCTCTTATAGAACTGTAGGGTTATCCATATTCAGCATGTTAGTAAGGGGGATAATGCCGGCCATTCACTCACACAACCGCATTCAGAATCTCAAGTGAGCGCTTTTCATAGTGTCCTTGGCAACCTGAATGAGGACATCTGCTTCATTGTGCACTGCAATACATCCAAAGTCAATTGGCCCGAGCAAATTATACACCATATTGGTTTATGTTATGGCAAAATAGAGCCCTGTGAAAGGATAAATAAACCTGAATCTCATGACATTACATAGATAGTGTACTACATGAGTGTAGTGCTTACCAATGAGTTCATTCTCTCTAGGAAATACTGTTTAGGGCTTGTTAGTTCATTTTTATTTAAAAATAAAGAAAATTTTAGAAGTTGACTTCTGTAGCCACTGTACAGACATGCTCCTGCTGCTCCCTTCTGCACTGGCCCTCACTCTGGTCTCTGTGCAGGAGCCTGGGTGGAGGCATGAACTACTGTGTGGCCCTTGACTACAAAGAGTGTACACACCTGCACACACACAGCCTGGTCTCTGTTAGAACCTGGACACAAGTTTAGCGGCTTCTTCCCTTCCAAAGCTCTTGGAAGCCTCTGCAATCCAGAACCCAAATCTGGAGAAAACCCGGAAAGAGAAAGAGTCTCTCAATCTGCATTTTTGAGAACCTTGAGTACCATTCACCTCTTTTTCCATGATGGCAGGAACCAGCACTGTCAATATATATATATATATATATATATACCGCGTTCCAAATTATTGTGCAAATTATATTTAAGTGTCACAAAGATGCAATATTTTGTTTTTCAGTGTAACTCATGGATGGCATTGTGTGTCAGGGCTCTTTTGATCACTGAAAACAATCTCGGACAACTGTGATAAATTAGATTGGCCGGTGAGCCCAATTTAAGGAAAAACTACTAAAGGAGGGTGTTCCACATTATTAAGCAGAGCACAATTTTCAAGCAATATGGGGAAGAAAAAGGATCTCTCTGCTGCCGAAAAGAGTGAAATAGTTCAATGCCTTGGAGGAGGTATGAAAACATTAGATATTTCATGAAAACTTAAGCGTGATCATCGCACTATTAAGAGATTTGTGGCTGATTCAGAGTACAGACGGGTTTGTGCAGATAAAGGCACACTGAGGAAGATTTCTGCCAGATCCATGCATCGGATCAAGAGAGCAGCTGCTAAAATACCATTACATAGCAGAAAACAGATATTTGAAGCTGCTGGTACCTCTGGAGTCCCACGGACATCAAGGTGTAGAGTCCTCCAGAGTCTTGCAACTGTGCATAAACCTTCTATTCGGTCACCACTAACCAATGCTCACAAGCAGAAACGGCTACATTGGGAAGAAAAATACATGAAGACTAATTTTCAAACAGTCCTGTTCACTGATGAGTGCCGTGCGACACTGGATGGTCCAGATGGATAGAGTAGTGGATGGTTGGTGGACAGCCACCCTATTCCAACAAGGCTGCGACATCAACAAGGCGGTGGTGGAGTCATGTTTTGGGCCGGAATCATGGGAACAGAGCGGGTCGGTCCCTTCAGAGCCCCCAAAGGTGTAAAGATGACCTCTGCAAAGTATGTGGAGTTTATGACTGACCACTTTCTTCCCTGGTACAGAAGGAAGAACTATGCTTTCCGTGATAAAATCATCTTCATGCATGACAATGCACCATCTCATGCTGCAAAAAATACCTCTGCATCAATGGCTGTTATGGGGATAAAAGGAGAGAAAATCATGGTGTGACCTCCATCCTCCCCTGACCTCAGTCCTATTGAGAACCTTTGGAGCATCCTCAAGCAAAAGATCTATGAGGGTTGGAGGCAGTTTACATCCAAACAGCAGCTCTGGGAGGCTATTCTGACAACTTGCAAACAAATTCAAGCAGAAACTGTCCAAAAACTCACAAGTTCAATGGATGCAAGACTTGTGAAGCTGCTATCAAATAAGGGGTCCTATGCTACAATGTAACATGACCTGTTAAAATGTTTAAAAAGTTAAAATGTTGTTAAAAGTTTGATTGAAATAGCTTTTGATTTCAGTAAATATGCTGCAAACACGATAAATGACAATTTTCAGTTCTTTACAACCTATAAAGTGTTTTGAAACTTACTGTGCGTAATAATTTGGGACAGTGCATTGGAAGTGTTTTATGTTTAACAAAAATCCTGTTATCATTAGGAGGTTTGTTCAATAACATTTGAATTGTACTCTTAATAGTTGATAACATGAGAATTATGCTGACTGTTATTTACATCAATTATTTAGGTAAATGAGAAAAATATAATTTGCATAATAATTTGGAACACGGTATATATATATATATATATATATATATATATATATATAGCCATGGCCAAAAATATTGGCACCCTTGCATTTCTGTCAGATAGTGCACCACTTCGGACAGAAAATTGTTGCAATTACAAATGTCTAGGCATTCTCGTGTTTATTTCTTTTGTTTGTTTTTGAGCTCCACTGCAAGGGAAGTTTAGAATTTTCACTTGAGTTCAGCTTTAGAGTAGTTGTAAAAGCAGACGTTTTTTTTTTACCATTATGTATTCTCTGCATTAAGGTAAAAATCCTTCCATCTTCAGCTCCCCCCAACCCACCTTATACTTACCTGAGCCTGATCTCGATCCAGCGCTGTGCCCAAGAACAGTGTCTCTCTGCCCTCTCCCTCCTCATTGGACATGGAGGAAGTAGCAGGAATGATGGGGAGCTATTCCTCCCACCATCGCCACTGATGGGGAGCTATTCCTCTTACTGACACTAGTGATGGGGAACTATTCCTCTTACTGACACTAGTGATGGGGAACTATTCCTCCCACCAACACCACTGATGGGAACTATTCCTCTTACTGACACCAGTGATGGGGAACTATTCCTCCCACCAACACCACTGATGGGAACTATTCCTCTTACTGACACCAGTGATAGGGAACTATTCCTCCCACCAACACCACTGATGGGAACTATTCCTCCCACCAACACCACTGACTTTTTTTTTTTTTTTTTAAAGTCCACAAACGTGCAAACTATAATGAAAAACCCGTAAGTGATCACAAAAAAAGTGCAAGTGCGAACACCACACGAAAAAGTGCACTTAGGGGTGTGCTTTTGTCCTACCCCTAAAGGGGCTGGACCACTACCCTGATCCCCCGGGGCACGAAGCTCCTGACAAGGACAAAGTTCCCATTTGGTCCTCCTGGCCAAAAGGCCTGGTGGACCACCGTTCCTTGTGTCCAGCCGAAGCCGGACACCCAGTACTTGGTCAGGGGGCTCTCCCGAAGAGAAAACCCCCTAGGGATCAGGGGAGGAAGGAACCAAAAGGCCACACATCCTCCCCCTAGACTTCAGGGAAGGCCCGAGGACCCACACCCTCCATCCTGTGAAAAACACACACAAAAGCAAGAAAAAGTGACAAAACGTGGGAGTGATTAAATTAAATAAATAGAAAATAAAAAAAGTGGTACCGTGCCAAATTGTGCACAGACCAGGCCCTGAGGCCTGTAGCAAAAATTGCCCTGATCCTAGCCAAAAGGCCTGGTCCTTAGGGCGCTGTGCAAAAAGAGTGTAAAAACAGTGACCATGTGCCATCTTCACACAGTAGGGTCCCACACCCAGGTGTTACTAGTGGCACCCTTGAGGGTGTCTACTCAGGGGGCACTGAGTTTTCGGTCTTTCTGCCTTCCCAGCCCCTGGCCAGACAAGGTAGATCCGTCCAAATCAGGAGGTACTGGGTCCTTCCGGTCTCCTCGGGGGGAATTACTCCCAGGACCCCAGCTACTCGTGGGCATCCCAGTTTCTGTCCCCCTGGTACTAGCCGTCCAGACCCCCATCATACCAGTGAGGGTACTATACAACAGCCATCCCCGCAAAGCTAGAATGGCCGGGAGCACCCCCACTGGACACTGATAAGAACAGATACTACACTTGTATAAGGTAAAATATACAGTAAGCGCTCATCAATAGTGGCAGCAGCTGAACATAAAGGAAAACGCATATAAAGTCCCCACAATTTATATATATATAAAAATGCAGCGCTTGAAAAGAAAGGTGATGATAAGACACAGTCCAGTGAAAAAAAAGTGAAAAAAAAGTGCTCCGTATTTCCTAGTGCAGGTGGTAAAGATTTACACTAACCAGATAGCGTAAAATTATACGCATGTGTATATGTATCCTGTAGAGTCCCCTTCTGCACTCAGATCTGGTCAAATAGATAGCCGGAGAGGATAGACATCCTACGCCCTCTTGTGGTGAAAGGCCAAGATGGATGCCAGCACATGGAGCAGCACAACCTCTAGGAAAAGCTTCCTCAACTTTTACAGCCCCAAGGGATCTCCTTGTCATCTTCAGTGAAGGGGGAAGGCTTACTCTGATTGGCATCGCTCTGACTTGCTGGACCACTCTTTCACCACAAGAGGGCGTAGGATGTCTATCCTCTCCGGCTATCTATTTGACCAGATCTGAGTGCAGAAGGGGAC